TATGCTGGGCCTTTCAGAGAGCACATGTGTTGATAGAAAGTAGAATATCACCTTCTAGTTCACTTGTCATCACTGTATCCTACCTGTTTTCACTCTGGAAAAAATCTTCCTCTGACTGTTATGAGGGTGACTGCTGGAGAGTGTTCTGTGGCTCTCCTGCTGTGACAACTCCCTTCACCAGCCCTTTCAGAAAAATGAAAGGACAAATGCATTTGGAAAGAGGTTGTTTTAACTGCTGCCTTGGAAAAGTTTGGAAATGTTGCTTTTCCTGTATAGCTCCTCAAGGTCAGATTTTCTTTCTCTTCCCTTGGAAAAAAAAAAAAAAAAGCCAAATAAGGGGAACAGGCTATATAAAACTGAATATAGGACTTTGCCATTTCTAATTTGATGGCAAGACTTGCAGGTCAGTGGATAAATGGTTTGCACCAACAGACTCCTCTTTCTGAACTCCAGCATTTGGCACTGAGCTGCCTCACCAGTTCCTGCTGCCCCTGTGCTGCCTAGCTCTGAACATCTGATAGAAATAGCTGGAATTTATTGCTGTACTTCTTTCTGAGGCTTCTGCCATCTTAGAGGACTGTCAGTTTGGTTATTCCTTCTGCCAGCTCCTATCTATGCATCCTCAGTGGGCCATTTTAAGTTTGTTTCCCATGATAATCCTCTCTAGTGACATTTAACGTGCATATTATTTTCTCCAAAAGAGTTTGCATGCAAAATGTCACAGTAGAACGAATCTCTGCAGCTGAACTGGTACACTAAGCTGGTAAAGTGGTCCATTATAAGGAAAATGCTTTCAGGCACATTCCTAACAGATGATTTGAACTGGGTGCTGCTGTGTTATCGTTCACAATTTACAATACAAATTTCTTGTGGTTCCACAATCCTTAAACACATAGGAAAAAGACAACTAATTTGCACGGGCAATCTTATAAATGCCATCTTTGTAATTAAGTGCAAACTGTGATTCAATCCACTGCCAGTATATTATGCCACTTCAAAAGACTTTCATTTCATTACTGAAAGTCAAGATTCCCTTATTAAACTTTTCTATTAAAATAGGATGAGAAGAAGCTTCCAAAATCCACATTGCCTCTGCTAAGTCACTTTTATTCTAATGTAATGTAAATAGACAAATAAGATACCCCGTTGTGTTAGCTTAAGGGTGTTAAACATGCCCTTGAAACCAAAGGCAAAATAAAGCATAATTAAAAATACTATAGCAAGGCAGCCTGATGGCACAGCGTCCATTGTCAACACTGTGAAGCAAAGTATTGAAGACTGGAGGGTTTGGGGGGGCTGAGAACATCCTTAGCAAATGCCTGTGGGTATAATCCGTTCCTGGACATGAGCTGGGCTCAGCTCACAATGAGATAGGCTAATAGACAGCAAATCTCTCTCCACAGCTGAGCAGGCTGCTCTCAGCCACAACCTTGAGACAGGACTGCAGCGCTTCAGGTTGCCTGGGAAGCTTTATCCTGAGATCTTCTGTACCTTGACAGCCTAAGGAGGAACAGGTGTTTCAGTGGGACTGCGCTTATCAGCTGAACAGAGACCTCAGTGGGGATCTGGTGGTTGCCTGAGGGGCTGTGCTGAGCAGTCCTGCTGCTCTTAGGAAACACTTGCAAGTTGGAATGATTTCATATGGAGAGATGGCAGGCAGACCACTCAAAAAAGCAGAGTAATAGGAGAATATCTGTGATGCAGGACAGCGCAGGTCAGTCTCACCTGACATGTGTTTGCAGACCTGAGCGGTGCGTGGGCTGTGTTGGACAGCGCAGGGCCGAGCAGGGAGGCACCTCTGCCCGGGCAGGTGTTGTGGCTGCCTTAGTGAGATGTTACAGGGGGTTTAATTGCACCTCCTTTGGTGCCCTCTCTGGGTCTTAATTTACTTGAGGTGCCCATTGAATTGTAATATTTGGTTTGGAGTAATCACACAGAGGCCTGAGATTGCCTTGTGCTTGTAAATTCTCTTAGTGCAGTAACAAAGTTGGTTGGTTTTTTTTTTTTGTTTGTTTGTTTGTGGTTTTTTGTTGTTGTTGTTTTGTTTTTCCCTTCAGCTTTGAAAAATTCACCTTTAAAGTACTGAGCAAATATATTGGTAACAGTCATCATTCCATGTTGAATGATATGATACATCCTCATTTTTCCAAAGGCAATGTCAGGTTTGTCTAATTTCTATCAAACAGTTCCAGACACTTGGTATATTTTTGGGGGAAAGGAAACATTTTCTAATATTTGTGGGTTTTGTAATCTTTAGGTGGCCGCATATCTCTTCTGGAATTGAATTTTTCATATTAAGTTGGTTTGGGTTTTTTTACCCACTAGCAAAGCAATTAAGGAATTTCAACTAAGTGGATTCATTAGATATTCTGAATCTCACCGGTGAGTTGGTTTTTTTCTTCAGAGTGTGTGTGGTCTTTGGTAATTCTTTCACTGACTCATAAGCTATAAATATTCTCGTGTGTGGAGAAGAACAGTTCTGTGCCAGGTGTGGGTATTACAAAATCTGTAAAGCTGGAAATAAAACGCAGAAGATTTGAAGTGCCTCTTGCAGGTGAATGGTCACAGTGGTGACACAACCTGCTCCTTGTTAGCAGGGAGGCAGTGCCCTTCCACTGGGTGGGCTCTGGTAGAGACAGGGGTCCCCTTTCCATGCCATTGCACTGCTCTGGCTTGATTGACTAGTGAGGTGCTTTCAAGCATTGTCCTTGCCTTTCATGGCTCTAAAAGAAGGGAGAACATCACATTCTTTTTTTTTTCTTGTGGTGTTTTAACTCCCTTGAGTTGCTTTTGCTCGGTAAAGCCAGTGCAAGCGAAGGGTGATTATTTGATCCCAGGGCAGACTCTCTCCTGTGCCGTGTTTCCCTGTGGCTGCCAGGAATGATCAGCCCTCAGGTGACTGGAAGCTCAGCCAAAGCTGAGAGCAGACAACAGGAGAGACCCTGATGTGGATATTTTGGGTGTTGTTCCGAGGCCTGAGATGCAATTGAAATTTCCTCATAATGCAAAGTGGAAGCAGGGGTATTTTATTTCCAAGCATGACAGAGCAATTTGCTGGTGTTTTTGAAAACACTTTTATACCAAATGAACTTTCTCTCTTCTGAGAACTTGACTAAAAGAACAAATATCCTAGAAATCAAAAAATATTCTGCCTAAAACCTGTTTGGTAGCAAAAGTCTAAAAGCACCAATTAAAATTACTCCGAATGTTCTGGGAAAGATCCAGACTCGCTGCTCTCGGCTGAGCTTTAATTCATCCTTTTTTCTGTATTGAAGAGGTGGGACCTTTCCTGGATTGATTGTTTCCATTCTAAATGTTATAGAATTATTAAGCAACGCTTCAGAGTACACTAAATTTATGGCCATTATTTTCTAATGAATTCTGGTTGAACTGACAATTTTAATCAATTCTACCTTTCAGAAATATAAGTGGGAAGGAGAAATAAATAAATAAATAATGTTTTGACCACAAGGCAGTACAACATTTGGAAATGAGGCTTAAAGTGTCCAGCTCAGTTTCATTAAAGCAATATCAGGTCTCAGGTTGGTAACCCTGGCTGGGATGTCATGGAACCCAGTGCTGGCATGTGGAGACTGTCTTGGACATTTCCTTTAATCTTCTGAGCTGGCAGGGCATGAAAGATTAAAATGTACTGGATCTATCAGACTTGCCACCTCTAGTTCAGGCTAGTTATTCATGTGCTATGTGGACAGCAATACTTTATTAATCGTATTGCCGGCCAGTGATCAATGTGACAAGCTTAGCAAAGAGCACAGTAATTCATCAGAGAGTTGTCAAGAAGTAATTGCCCTCATATGCATTAGAATAAGCTCGTGTGAGAGGCACAATGGGTGTGCTTTTATCATTTTTAGGTGCAGGTGTCAACAAAATTAAAATCTGCTAAGGTACTAGTAAATAAATAAATTGACAAGGAATTTATGTGCTCCAACACAATCACACCACTACAAAATAAGACAAAGGGTTGTACTTTATTGGCATTTATATTTTTAAGTGTTTTGAAAGTGTTTTCAGCAAGTTCTTTTCTATGTGCATTATCTGTTACCAGTCACACTTTTGTAAGGGCAGGCACAAGGTTTGCAGTTCTTTCCTTACAAAGAAAAATGGAATAGTTGAGATGTAGTTTTGCTACAGAAAACTGTTCTTTAAATTATAAAATGTACAGTTGCCCAACCGTTGTTACATGCAGAACGTATTTAGATCTGCCATGACATTCTTCCACCTTTTGTGGAAAAGCACATCAGTAATAAAATGTCAATGGTTTTTTTTTCTGTAGAGTTGAAGACTTAACACTTTTCACCACAGACTGCTATTTTAAGGGTTGTCAAAAGCACTGGGGAAGCGACAAAGGTAAGGCTGAATGTGTAATCTCTGTCCTGGTCCCTGCTGTACCTGACAGTATTAAACTTTCTCACATTAAACATTTTTCCCATCATCCAGGGTAACCTCACACTTCAGCTGTGGTGCCAGCACAGGATGTCTGCAGGATGCAGTGCTGCTTGGCATGTGTGTGTGCAAGTGCTTTGCTGTATAACATCAGTTTTCACAGAGCTTTGTATTTCAGTGTATATTTAACACAGGCACAAACTGGACTCATGCTATAGAGTGCACGCTCTCTGTGTTTTATTTTGCTTTTACTCTGTTTACTGTGTTTCCAAGGGTTTCTGAGAACCCATTGAAGAGAAGGCTTATAGAGAACCTGTCCCAGAAGGTAACATTTCAGAATAAAGCTGAGGCTACACCTGTCTGCAGTGACTGTTTGTTTATCATCCTAATAGCAGTGGTTATTAGGCTGATACTCCAGGACTGTCAGTCTAATATGGTTCAGATTGCTAAACTCAATAAAAGTAATCATAGAATGATTGAGGAGTTTGGGTTTGAAGGGACCTTAAAGATCATCCTATTCCACCCCTCTGCCATGGACAAGGACACCTCTCACTAAAACAGGTTACTCAGAGCCCTGTCCAACTCTTCCAGAGATGGGGCATCCACAGCTTCTCTGGGCAACCTGTGCCAGGGCCTCACCACCCTCACAGGCAAGAATTTCTTCCAGACACCTAATCCAAACATCCCTCATTCAGTTTTCAGCCATTCCCTGCTGTCTTGTCACTCCATGCCTTTGTAATAGTCCCTCTTTGTTTTTCTTGCAGGCTCCTTCAGCTACTGGAAAGCCCCAGTTAGGTCACCTTGAAGCTTCTCTTTTCCAGCCCGAACATTCCCAGTGCTCTCAGCCTTTCCTGGCAGGAGAGGTGCCCCATCCCTCTAATTATCTCGGTAGCCTTCCTCATAACGATGGATTGAGATGAGAGATGGGCCAAATTCTGGAATAAGGTAAGATTTGTTAAAAATAGAGCACTTTGGGAGGAAAGGATGAGCAAAGGGACAATCAGTATCTGGGCAATGAAAATGAAAGCTGGCAATGTATATAGTGAAGACTTGCTCATGATGGTCCATAGCCTGTGTGATAATGAGACCTGTTTAGAATGGATTTCCTTGGCATTCAACAGCATCATTTTTAATGATCTCATCTGGAAGTTCTGCTTCTGCCTCGCTAATCAAAATGATCTCATCTAAATACTGAGGAAAGTGCTGATAGAGACCCTCTTTAACACACTCCTAACACATGCTATGAAGATAAGGAAATAAAATGTTCTTAAAGTAGGTATGAGAGAGTCTTTGTCCAATTTCAAACCCACACAAACAGACGAGGGTGAAAAATGTGATATGACTTTAAATATCATTAGCGTGGTCAGCTTAGGAAGGAAATGAGCAGTGAATGTGAAGTGGGAGGAAGGGGAATTCAGTTGTGAAACACACTGAAGCAGCAAGGAAAGGACTGTTTAAGCATTTTCTGCTCTGTCTAGGAAGATGAGGCACAAGTGTTGGAAACACTGTTGTGCTTCACAGTGTGTATTTCTCTTGTACATGGTACAAGGCAGACAGTGTTTAGGTACGAACAGAACAAACTCAGCCTTCGACAAACGTTTCTTGCCACATGGGTGGGAGGGGATTGTCAAGAGCAAATATTCTGTGTGGCAGAATCTTGCAATAACTAAATTCAGTGTATGAATTAATAAAGCCTCACCTCAGCTCACCCAGGGTGAGCAGTACTCCAGTAATCACTGCAGGTTGCAGCAAGATGACAAACTGCACAAATTATTCCTTGCAAATTCTCTGCAAAATAGATTTTCTAGTAAGTCATTCGAATGCAGCTTGGTTTAGCCACTTTCTGATTTCTGACCTTGAAACACAAGACTTTGCCTCGATGCTTGAAAAATTCTGTTGACAGTGCTTTGCCTTACAGTCTGCTTTGGTAAGTGCCAGACTGGCTGCTGTGGTTTCTCTTGTTCATCGATTCCTCCTGATCTTGGTGTTTGCCTACATTTTTGAATGCTCTGGCCAGTATTTGTGTGGTCTGTAGAACACAGGAATCTAAGGCTGAGTAGATCCTGGCATTTGTACGTCACAGTGGATTAGAGGGTTTGAATTGGTGCAGTTACAAAAAGAAATGTTCTAGTATTCTACAATAGGACAGTGAATTAGTTTTATCACTGGCATTTTCTGCAGACAGGTTTTATTCTGTTCTCTGTTGGGTTAAACTGGAGCCTTTGACCCTTGAATAGTGGAGCAGTGACCAAGAGAGGAGTGTTAAGGAATGAGCATGGTGGCTGGATACCAGTGCTTGAGCAGTTAAGGCTTTCAGATTGACTGGTACTGTCATCTGCTCTAATATTTCATGGAATTAGTGGGAGCTTCTCACATCCTGTGGACACAGGCAGACACCAGCACGTGTTGTGCATGTGTGTAAGCAGGGGCACGACTGCTGTATATGCATGGATGTTACATGGGGAAATGTCATGGCTGTACTGCCTTTTCTAAACAGCACAGACCTGTGCTGAGTACTGAAGGTGGACAGGTTGAGACTAAGCACATTTTTAAGAGTTAATCTTGTGGCTGTAATATCTGCACTGAAAACCTCGTTTTTGGGCAGCCCACTGGCTGCAGGAGGTGTAGAGCAAAATTCCTGTCTGATGTTACACAGAAGATCCTATTGAATTTATCATCCCTTTGCTTTGCTCTTTTGATCCTTAGATTTTCTTTAGCCAAAGGTTATGGCTTTTACTGATAAATTTAGATTCTGTAACACACAGCAAGAGACATCAAGCAGTCAGAGCCTTGAGTACATACATGGGGACTGTTGTGTAATATTTTTTCCCTCAGGATGCTCCTGTGTTTTTTTGTCCTGAGATGGAGATTGAACATTTCAGGCATGTTTTCTGGACATCAGGAATTGATAATGTGCCCTTTGAGTAGTGAACCCCATCCAGACATCAGCTAAGATTCAGAAACAGCTCTAGGGCAGTCCAAGGTGCTTCACTTAAAAGAATTTAAACTCCTGAACTAAAGGTGGGGTGGAGAAGTGAAGCTCTGAAAATGACAGCTGTGTTTTGTTTTATTTCTTTCCATCCTGCACAGTTTACAGTTTTCAGTGTCATACCTGACTATTGCAGTGCTTGACAACAGGTAACCTTCAAACCCAGCTGGAAAATACCAGCACTGGATGGTATTTTCTATCAGTGAGCAGAGGGAGCTTGGTAGGACACCTGACCAGCTCTGGGTTCAGTTCAGCTGAGGGACTTTTGTATGATCCCTCTTTCAGCTGGAAAGCACAATGGAAGAGGAAAGGCTGTGTGCTATCAGAAATCCTGTGTGTCAGATAAGGCTCTAAAGAGGTTGCTGAATGTGTCAGTCCTAAAAGGACAGACTCTCATCTGCTAACCTGGTGTGAGTTGGAGAGTTTCTAAAATTGAATTGTTAAATAATCTTACTCAATTTTGTTAACTACGTGGGTTCTGGAGTGTATCTAGTAAATATTTCTAAGGCAGTATCTGCTCAGATAGGCCTGATTATAACAACTTGCCAGTTACAATTACAACCTATTCCCCTACAGTCAACTTCCAATGTCTTTGGAGTCTGTAGATTTAGGGTCACCCTCCAGTGTGACACCAACACACGGCATGGCTTCCACACTAATCGTGTCTGGCATTGCCTCTTGTGTTCTCTCCTGTTCAGCTTCTTCATCTGTTGCTGCAAAGAGTTTCAGGCTCAGAAGAATGGAACAGGAAGAATGTGGGTTCACTCTGCCTCTGCACTGTTATACACACACACAGATATTTACTGTGTAGTTTGGCCAAAGTCCAACTGGAACTCAGTCTGGCTGGTGCCATAAAAGACAGCAAAAAGTAAATACATCAGCAGCAAAAGGAGGGCTAAAGAGAATCTGTGTTCTTTACTGGATGCAGAGGAAAATATACTGACAAAGGGTGAGGAAAAGGCTGAGTTACTTAAGGTCTTCTTTGACTCAGTCTTTAATAGTAACACCAATTTTTGTCCAGGTGTGCAGCCCCCTGAGCTACAAGAACAGGGACAGGGAGCAGAGTGAAGCTCCATAATCCAAGGGGGAATGCTCAGTGAGGGAGGTGGCACAAGTGCTCACTGAGCTCTGTCCATCATTTACCAGCAGTCCTGGCTCACGGGGCAGGACTGGAGGTGAGCAGTTGTGATCCCCATCTACAAGAAGGGTCAGAAGGAGGTCCAGGGAACTACACTCCTCTCAGCATGACCTGTGTACTGAGGAAGGTTGTTTAGCATCAGGAAAGGGAGTGGAGGGGACCGTATTGTTCTCTACAGCTATCTGACGGGAGGTTGTAGTGAGGTGAGGGTCGGCCTCTTCTGCTGAGGAACAAGGAATAGGACAAGAGGAAACAGCCTCAAGTCACGCCAGGGTAGGTTTAGATTGGATATTAGGAAAAGTTTCTTCATGGAAAGAAGCACTGGAACAGGCTTCCCAAGGCAGTGGTGGAGTCCCCATCCCTGGAGGGGTTTAAAAGACATGTGGGTGTGGCACTTGGGGACATGGTTTAGTGGTGGGCTTGGCAGTGCTGGGGGAATGATTGGGCTTGATGATCTTAAAGGTCTTCCACCCAAAATGATTCTGTGATTCTCTCTATGTGTGTGTATAAGAATGAATCTTCCTCATGATCTAGGCTGTGTTCCCCTTTTGGAATACTTCTTCCCATTCTGCAGTGTCGTAGTGCCTGGATAGGACAACTGAAATTGGGAGCTGCCTTCACTTGATATTTGCAGAAATCCACAGTGTGCCTTCAGTTCAGCCCAGGTGAGAGAGAGGACAAAGTGAGAGAAGCAGAACCCCTCGTTAGGAGAGCAGAGATTATGTCTGGGAGGAACAAAATGCTCCATCCAGATTTTAAAAAGCCAAAGTGTCAGATGTTTCTGTCCTGTCCCCCTGCCCAAGCCACAGAAGAAGACTTCTTGAAAGTCTTGTTTGATACATGCTCAGTCCTCTTGGGTGTCCTAAATCATTATTATATTAAAATCACTCCGAGATTAGCAAATCTGTAGGAATGTTTGAATTGCATATCATAGACAATTAATATAAAAGTCCTCTTCATGGTGTCTTTCATCTTGAGAGTCTGACGATTTTTCAGTTTTGAAAAATGAAGATGAAAAATGTTCTTTTTCTGGTCTTT